AATTAGTCTCTTTGTACTCTCTAACTTTGAGTCTTGTACTGCTTAATCTGTTTGTACTGCACTTTTGTTGATTAGAGTTCAAGTTGTAGGTCCTTTTAAATTTGTAATTTTTTTCATTTAATAAATACTCCATTTTGGAGGATGTTTGACACCGTTTTTAAGGAAAATGAAATTTAGAATAATAGATTGATGGAGAATGTGTGGATGAAAAGTTTTTAATTTATGTGTAATATTATTTTAATGAAAAATGTGTGGTTGAAAAGAATAGGAAGAAAAATGTATTTTGAAAAAAAAAATGAGAATCAAACAGGGTCTTCGTGTTTTTTTAGGAAAATAAAGAGGATAGTGGAATAAGAATTGACAAGGGAAGACCAACTGTTCTAGTTGAGTGCTTGGAGAATCCCATGATATCTCACATTCATCAACTTTCTTGAAAGAATGACTTGTATTTCCTCCTATAAAGTATACAAGGATATGATAGTGATGGTAGAAAAACTTGCGCCCATCCCGCTCCGGCTAGGGGCAATGATGCCCTGCCCTTGGCCCCGAACCCGTCCCGTGAAGGGAAAAAAAATAAAAAAAATATTAAAAATAATTTTATTTTTAGACAATTCACTCGTTAAAAATTCATTGTGAATTTGTATTTTATTCTTTAATAATAAAATAATTCAAAATTTTGAAAATGTAAAAAAAATAAAATATAAATTAATTAGGACAATAAACGAGGCAAAAAGTTGCCCCGCCCCCGTCCTACATGACTTGCGTCCCTTGGACCACCCCGTCCCGAACTTACACTGTTGCCACCCCTAGGATATGAACAAGAATTAGAATATGAAAAAAAAGTTTGATATAATCCAAGTGTTGACTACAACTTGTAACCTTCATTTTTTTTTTTTTTTAACGATACACATAAGTAATTTTATGATTATGATATAGAATGCCAATACAATTATTATGACACGATCTAAATGAGTGTTGGATTGTATGCTCATATAATATATTTTACTATAATAAAATAATAATTTATAATAAATAAATTGTGATTTTATTTATTTATTATTGAGCATGTGAATTAAGTCTTCGCGATCACTTCTGATAATATAAGTTGTGTATTTGCTTTGAAAAGTATAGTGTAACACGACTTATATTTTGATAATAAATAATTTGTACTGAAAAATTGTAGTATTGATCAATTCATTATTCAAGTTTGTGATTTGTCGTTATCATAAAAATAACTACCGAAAATCTCATATTCCTTTTACAAAAAATGGTAACAAAGAAGTAGCAGTGCATAATTCTGAAAGTCTAATTATACTACTAGTGTATTAAAAGGGCAAAACGATTTGGCCCTGGCTTTGGCGCCCCAGGATCTGGCACTACGGTCCGTATTAAAATGAGTTAACAAAACTAGACCATCAATCAATATTTAAGGCTGGCAATTGAAGATGAAGGTGAAATACAACATTCCTTGCTTCATTTCTTATTTATTTAAAGGAATAATTGTATAAATTATTTTCATATTACTTTTAATTTTGAATAGATAACTTCTAAGGTGGGAAGAAGGTCAGTGAAAAAATTGGGTAAGACTTTATCCTTGATTTTTGAAAAGCGAAAATTGCATTTTTGTGGAGTTAACAGAGTATTTGACAGTGGGTGGATGAAAACATGTTTTCCACAATAAAAGGTGAAACTGCCAAATAAAACAGTTAGAGATATTTTGTACAAAAATATTGAAATGTAGGGACTTTTTGTACTAATTAGCCTTTGTTAGTTAACAGATCATTTGACGTTGGATGGATAGATGGATGTTTTCCGCAATGAAAAGTAAAAGTGAGGGTGGAATTATTAAAAAATAAAAGGTAATAACGTTTTACACAAAAAAAAATTGAAAAGTGGGGACGTTTTGTGTTAATTAGCCATAATTCTTTGATAGAAATGCGGTCTTGATATTATCTATAATATATTAAAATATCACATTAAGGAAGAATCTTTTTTCGGACAATTTTAACCCCCTACAATTCAATTATTTCAATAAAATCTTACTTTTCGTTTTTCGATATATAATAAATACTACATAATTATTATCATTTATGAAATTTGTGTTATTAATTCTCAATTAATTAACATTCACATTAATTTAAATTCAATGAATTTTCACTTTATAAATCTTGAATTACATAAATCTAGAGTTATTATAGATAAATTTATTCATATTCAAATATTTAAAAATTTTAATAGGTATTTAAATTTATGTATTAACAATTAATTTTTATGTATCAAATGTAATATAAAAAGATTGTTCATTTATAGTATTTCATCATTACAAAAAAATTGAATCATAGAAATTGAATTTTCAAAGTACAATTTGAATTCTATGCTAATTTTTTTTTTAAAATTCATCTGAGACTCATCAAATGTTCAAATAAATTGATATCAAATATTACTTTTATGTCACTTATAAAATATTTTAAAATAACGTACAATGCACGTTAAACTTTGACTATTTATTCACAAATGTCAAGTCTGGCACTATAAATTAGACGGCTTTTTTTTCCCTCTAATATCATAATGATGCAGCACTATCAATGAGACGACTTTCGGACAAAAGTAATTAATAAATTGAAAAATTACTTATTTACTTATAAGTAAGTTAAATTTTTTAAACTTAGCCAAACATGCACGGCTTGGATTTGACTTTTGCAAACGCAAACAAGATAAGAGATTAGAACAAGAGAAAGGAAACGACGAGGCGGGAGTGTGGGACCAGCCATCATGAAACTTGGACGGTCGATATCAACCCTCATTCTCCCTCACGGACGATAAATACGGGCAATAGAAATCTTTCTACATCCAAATCTTCTTATGAGATCCTCAAGTCAAATTTTCTTGAAATCATCGAAAATGTCTTGCTGCGGAGGAAAGTGTGGCTGTGGCTCTAGCTGTAGTTGCGGCAGTGGCTGTAATGGGTAAGAGGTTTCTATTTCGTTATTTCGATGCAGTCGATGTATGGTTCATGTCCTAACCTTTTTTTTTTTTTTTTTTTTTTTCCCTATTGGGTGAAGATGCGGTATGTACCCTGATTTGAGCTACTCAGAGGCAACCGGCGCCGCCACCACTGAGACTCTCGTTCTCGGAGTTGCTCCTCAGAAGATGTGTGCATCAATTTACATAATTTTATCTTTTAATAATGAAAAAAAAGAGTCTAAAATTACTGTTTATTTTTCAGATACTTTGGGGGATCCGAGTCGGAGATGGGTGCGGAGAATGGGTGCAAGTGCGGTTCTGATTGCAAGTGCAATCCATGCAACTGCAAGTGAGGGGCAAAGCCGGAACTTGAAGCAGAGATGGTGAAGAATGTTTTAGTTTAATAGTTTGTTGTGTGTGTGTGAATAGGGGCAAATTAGTCATATCCTGTATGGGTGATGAATTAATTATGTTCCTTGTAATAAAGTGGGTGATTTGGTGTGTTTTGTGTGCATTTGGTGTTGTAACCTTCTCTGCATTTGTCTGGAGTCTCCTATAATGTTAGAAGACGGTCAGGGTCTGGTTGAATTAATTAATGAAAACTCCTTTCTTCTTCTACTACTTCTTTTTTTTAAATTTTTTTTTTTTTTTTTTTTTTTTTTTTTTTTTTTAAATAATCACTCACTCCCACCCAAGGGGCCTGTACAGACCCTGTACAGTGGGGAATTTCCTATTAACTATTAGTATATGTTATTAGAAGGGCATAGTGGTCGTTGGTGGGTAAGGATCAGCAAAAAATAGTTTCACATCTTTGATTTTGTATGGGAAATAGGTGGAATTGAATGGTAATGGAGATCACTTTTGACACATGGGGATAAATTTATGCGACGGTGGTGGTAGTGGTGGTGGTGGTGGTGGTGATCCACGGGATAAGTTACAAACTGCAACTTAACAGTAACACATTTTAAGTCATGGTCATTGTAACTAATTAAATGGAAAATTTTCTAATTTTTATTGTTAAAAAAAAAAATTTTGCTTTCATGCAAAAAATTATAGAAAATTACATAAAAAATTACAGATTCTAAGGTACACAATCTTTGAAATTCTTATGAATTTACCTTATTCTCAAATTTGATTCATGCGTTTGATTGTGAGTGATCACCGTAGAATTATCTGGTCACGAACTCGACCACCAGTCCCTAAGCTTGACCTCTCTCAATACCACCAATCTAAGGTCGGGTCATCGAGGTCGGGTCTATGTGTCGTCATGTCAGGTCTTTTTGAAGATCTATGGGAACACAAATTCTATTCAATCTACAATTCTTACCTAGCTAGATTCCATTTCCGACTCTAGCAGTGGTTGAATACTTGGATTAGAGCACTAACTCCTTATCCTACAAGGATAAGGATCACATATGGCTAAGTCCTTTTAGGACTCTATCATCAGCACCTATAAATACATAACCCGGATTCATTCTTGAAGTACGTTTTTCATTATCTCCAGTTTACAGCCTCACGCACTAAATTCCCTATCTAATTTAAGTATTGGAGGGGCGACGAGCACACACCTCGTTGCCTTTGTTTCAGGTATTCGAAGATCGTTTGTATAATCCAAATTCGAAGTTCGATCATTAAAGTTTGAGATCTTTCATGTACTATTTTTTTGTCGTGATGCTACCAAAAAATAGTATCTGAAAAATCTCTAACTTGATTATCGAACTTCGAACTTTGATAAATACGAACGATCTTCGAATACCTGCAACAAAGGCAACGAGGTGTGTACTCGTCGTTCCTCCGATGCTTAAGTCAGATAGGGAATTTAGTGTGTGAGGATGTAAACTGGAGATAATGAAAAACGTACCTCAAGAATGAACCCGGGTTATGTATTTATAGGTGCTGATGATAGAGTCCTAGAAGAAGATAAGGAGTTGATGTTTTATTCAAAGCATTCAACCACTGTTTGAATTGGCAAGGAAATCTAGTTAGGTAAGAATTGCAAGTTGGGGAGAATTTGTGTTCCCATAGGTCGTCAAAAAGACCTGACACGATGACACATAGACCCAACCTTAGATTGGTGGTTTTGGTGGAGGACAAGTTCAGGGTAAGTGGTCGAGTTCGGGACTGGGTGATCATAGGCCCCCGTGCATCAAGGTCGTAGATTATGGTCCAAGTCAAAACTATGAGTGAAGATGCAGAGGTATAAATGTTTATGTGTTGCTCCACGTGTCACGCGTCTGATAGAATGTCATAACTCGACCTTGGATGGGTGCCATGTGTCTTGGTCCAAGGGTTGGGATTAAAAGACCGTTGGTATTCTACAGTCTCCTATAAATACTCCAACTTTCATCATTCATTTTCACTTTTCACTCTCAATTACTCTCAGTAAAATCGAGCTCGAGTTCAAGGATTGTGAGTTAGTGAGCGATCGTCTGAAAAGATAAGAGTTCGAGCCCTTAAGTTATTTTTTGAATTAGTATAATTTCGAGTAGCAGTAGTAGTGCAGGGTCGACTGATAGCGATAGTAGTCCCCATCTAGGGTCTCGATCAATAGTGACAAGCCTGTCGATATAGATGTATCCCTCATTCCCCTGGCCATCTCCATCAGTTCTCACGTCGATAGCGACGTCAACTTGACATATTCTAAAGAACCGACCAAATATAAAGAGCATGTTATCATTAAGATAGCTAGGGAGTTCGGTGTCATGCCTGCATGTGATGTTAGGACCTCGGGGCATTCTGAACGGTATTGGATGCTCAGGAAGGGGAGATGACATCTTTCAGGGACGTCCTTAAGGCTGGGCTTAGGTGGCCTCTTCATCCATTTTTCTTCCATTTTCTATCCTCTTACTACTTGTGCCCGGGCCAATTAGCCCCGAACGATTGGAGATTGTTAGCGTACTTCTTCATTTTATATAGATGCCTCGAGGTCGAGCCTAGACTAGACCTTCTCAGAATGGTTTTTGATTTGAAATTCTCTTCGGGATACAATTGCTTCGTCTATTTATCAACAAATGGGGGGTTTAGGACACCAGAGACCCCGAGCTCGCTCTGGGTTGGAAAGAGAGGTTCTTTTTTGTGAAACCCCAAAACCCTGACCACCCATTTAACCCGAAGTGGGAGGTACCCGACAAGGATAGATTTAACGAAGGGCAGGCATACTTTGAGTTATTAGAACGGGATAGGTTAAGGTTAGTTAACCACGATCCTTTGGCAGAGAAGATTGATTACTTGCTCGAGGACGACACCCTCGACCTTGCCAATGTGAAAGGCCTCGATGGTATGTCCTTTCATCTTTTTTCTTCTCGTTAATTATCCTTGAGCTTAAGGTCGAGCTAATGTCTTGCGATTTATTTTTGTAGATTTGGAGATGTCTTTCAACCCATCAAACCTTCTTGCGAATATTCAGCACAAGGCTAAGGGTCCGAAGCCTAAGGCCCCGGCCCATCGAAGGTCGCTGGGAGGGAGCCCCTAATGGCTATGACCCCGACCTTACATAAAGGTCAGTTCTTGACGTCGAAGGCCCCGACCCCACCACCTTAGCAAACACCTAGGGCACAAGATCAAGCTCGGGGATGTCAGGGCGTTGCGGACTCCGACTTCTCTCCCCTTTCTGATTGTGCCCTTGAGGAGTATTCTGAGTGCGCCCTTGTGAAGGATTTTGTTGATCGATTCAAAAAAGAGGTCAACATTCACGAGGGGGTTAAGATATTGGAGGTCCTAACCTTAAGGGTAAGACATCGACCTCAATTGTGTTTCCTTTATTTGAGTCTTTTTTCATCACACTAACGTCGTGTTTATTTATGCAAACGTTGAGCGTAGCAAGAGGCCTTACCTTGAATGGCCTCAATATTGCGAGCAAGCTGCAAGATCTTGAGAAGGAGAAACAGCAAGCTGACAGTCGAGCTAATGACCTTGAAAAAGCTCTTAATGCAGCGAGGGTCGAACTCCAAAAGGCTCGAGAGGAGGTCGAGGTCCACAAGGGGGAGGCTCAGGAAGCAAAGCTCGAGCTTCTTGAGTCCAAGAAAGGTTTTGAAGAGGAGCTGGTGAGAGCACGTGAATAAGCTCGAGCTCAAGCTATTGAGGACTTCAAGAAATTAGAAGAGTTCGGGACCCTCCTTGGTCAATATGGCTCAGGTTCCTATCATTATGGCTTGCGGCTTGCTCAAGCTCGAGCTCTCTGCCTCAGAGGTCGATGATGACGGTGTCATGATGATGTCAGGGTTGTTGACATAGTTTAGATTCCCCAACCCCAAATTAGACATTATTGTAACCATTTTTGCTCATGTACATTGTTCGAACTGGGCTTGGATCTTTGAAAGGTTTTTTGTTATTAGTTCATACAACTTGCTTTTGTCCCGAGATCTTGGACGTATTTTATGTTCATGTGTGGATGTTGTGATTTTTGAATTCGAGCCGAGATCTTGGACGTATTTTATGTTCATGTGTGGATGTTGTGATTTTTGAATTCGAGCTGTTATAATTGTTGAGTTTGATCGTTAGTATAGATCATATGTCACAACCAATACTCAAATGTATGTAGCCCGGGTGTGTGTAGTAGTTCGGGGATATAGTATGTCTTAATAATACCGTTCGTCAAAATTATCAACAGATTGATCCTTTTACTTAAAAAATTGGGCTTCATCTAAGCTCGAGGATGTATTTTCAAGCTTCGAGTAGAAGCGTCACGTTTGGGGTCAATGAGTTCGAGTATTTGTGTCGTGTACTGTAAACTGATTTTTCAATTTCCCATATCGAGGAGCAACCATTGGGTCGCTGACCATGTAACGGATAACCTCGGGTTTGTCCCTTGTAATTTAAACAACTTCTTTCCTTTGTGGACAAGATCGGGTATGATCTTGTCAGATAAACATTATATCATACCCCGACCTCAATCTTGATAATTTTTGTTATCATGACTTTCTGGGTCGGATAGGTCGGGGTTTGTTGATCTCGACCTTTTGCCATTTTACGTCTTGGCAGCGTATCTTTGATTCTATTGGTCGAGTGCTTGCTGCATGCACGGAGCATGGCCTTATGCTAACTTAGTTAAGTATTAGCTGTATGCGCGAAGCGGCCTTACACTAATTTTGTTAAAGTATTAGCTACATGCACGGGGCAGACCTTAGGCTAATTTTGTTGAGGTATTAGCTGCATGCGCGGGGCATGGTCTTATGCTAATTTTGTCGAGGTATTAGCTGCATACACAGAGCACTGTTGAGGTATTAGCTACATGAGCGAGGCACGGTCTTATGCTAATTTTGTTGAGGTATTAGCTGCATGCACGAAGCACAGTCTTATGCTAATTTTGTTAAGGTATTAACTGCATACGCGAAGCACCGTCTCATGCTAATTTTGTTAAGGTATTAACTGCATCCGTGGAGCACGGCCTCATGCTAATTTTGTTAAGGTATTAACTGTATGCGCGGGGCACGACCTCATGCTAATTTTGTTAAGGTATTAACTGCATGCGCGGGGCACGACCTTATGCTAATTTTGTTAAGGTATTAGCTGCATGCGCGGGGCATGACCTTACGCTAATTTTGTTAATAGGGAAGCAATATCGTAAAGAAAATTTTGTGTATTATTAAAAGGGCTCAAGGGCGTTGATCCCGGGCTTATTGGAGGACATTAGAATCCAAAAAGTAAAAACGAAATAAAGCGAACATAAAGTGGGCATGCAAGCCTAAAAAGGAAAAATTATAGCTATAGTTGGTTACTTGTAATAAAATTTCAGATTCTCGGTGTTCTATGGCCTTGGGAACGGCTTCCCGTATGTGTTTTTGAGGCTATAGGCTCTACCTTTTAGCTTTCTTATAACCTCGAAGGGTCCTTCCCATGTTGGTCCGAGCTTCCCTGGTTGGTGTCCGACAGCTTCTGCTTTTCTAAAGACAAGATCGCTAGCTCTGAACCTTCTCGTCTGGACCTTGTTGTTGAAGTGCTTCGTCGTTCTGTTATGATAATTTACATCTCTAAGTAAGACTTGCTCTCTTATCTCTTCAAGCAAGTCAAGGTGCTCAATAGTTTGTCTCTCCCTATTCATCTCGAGCTTCCTTATTATGGGGATGCTGACCTCGATTGGAATGGTAGCCTCAAGTCCAAAGGCAAGCATGAAGGGTGTCTCACCAGTTGCTATCTTGTGCAAAGTCCTGTATGCCAACAGTATAGAAGGCAGTTCATCAGGTTAGTTACCTTTGGCATCCCCTATTCATGTTCGAAGGTCCTGCAGTATGATCCGATTAGTTACATCGACAAGCCCATTATTTTGTAGGTGTGATACCAAGGTTAAGCGATGATCAATCCCATGTTTGGCACAATAGTTCCTGAACTGTGGATTGTCGAATTACCTTCCGTTGTCTGTGATTAAAACTTTCGATATTCCAAACCTGCATACGACGGACTTCCATATGAATGATCTGAGCTTCGGCTCTAAAATTGTTGCTAGTGGTTTAGCCTCTACCCGCTTTGTGAAATACCTCACTGCCGCAGCTACAAACTTTAATTGTTCTCTGACCAAGGAGAATGGCCCAAGAATGTTGACTCCTCATTGTTCGAAAGGAGCTGAGTAATGAATTGAAATTAGCTCCTCCGTAGGAGCATGTATGATATTGCCAAACTTTTGGCACTTATCATATTTTCGAACATAATTTGCAGCATCTTTCTTCAAACTTGGCCAGTAGTACCCATACCTTATTAGCTTATATGTGAGAGCTCGAGCTCTTTGGTGATTTCCACAAATACTTTCATGAACTTCAATTAAGGCTTGAAGAGACTCGGAAGGTTTGAGACATTTTAGATAAGGGAGAGTGAAACTTCTGCGGAACAGAACTCCTTCAATTAGACAATATCTAGCAACTCTATACCGAATACTTCTAGCAAGCCGAGGGTCTGCGAGTAGGTTGCCATTACTTATGTAATCAACTATTGGATCCATCCAGGAGGGCTCATGATCGATGTCCATAACATTTGGTCTTTGAGCTATGTTGGGTTCTGCAACCATCTTGATGTGTACGGTTCTATCCAGCCCGTCCACACCCCTGAAGACGAGTCTAGATAATGCGTCAGCTTTGGCATTATCGGCCCTGGCTACCTTCAGGATGTGACAACTTACGAACTGCCTCTGGAGGTCATGTACTTTCAGACAATATGAGCTCATCTTCTCGTCCTTTCTTTTGAAAGACCCCTCGATTTGCCTGACCACTAGCTGTGAGTCATTGAGAACTTTGACACACTCCAACTCAAGGTTTTTCACAAGTTCCAGGGCCATGATAACGGCTTCATACTCTGCTTCGTTATTGGTGGCCTCGAATTCAAATCTACGCGCACATTGTATCTCCGTAGTCCTATCCAGACTTGTGATGATGATGCCGGTGCCCGAGCCCGAGCTATTGGATGCTCCATCTACGAAGATCTCCCATATTTTCAAGGTTGTGATCGGATCTTTAGCCTGTGTTTTTGAGGGCCTTGGAGTGAAATCTGATATAAAGTCAGCCAAAGCTTGAGCTTTGATTGCAGGTTGTGGCTTGAACTCTATGTCAAATTCGCCAAGTTGAATTGCCCATTTCAATAGCCTTCCTGAGACGTCCGGCTTCTAGAGTATGTGTCTAAGAGGTTGGATGTGACTGAAAGTACGGTCGTAATTTTCTGGCAGCTATTACCAAAGCGAGGACGAGCTATTCTGCAAGTGTGTATCGTGTCTCTGCATCAAGGAGTACTTTACTTACATAATAAACAGGCTGCTGTACTCTTCCTTTCTCCTTTACCAAGACCCCGCTTACTCATCTGAGAAACAGCCAAGTACAATAGCAACGTTTCATCGGGTTCGGGTTTGGTAAGGAATGGAGGTGTTGATAAAGTCTGCTTGAGCTCCTAAAAAGCTAAGTTGCATTCCTTGTTCCAATCAAAGCTTTGATTTTCCCTAAATAGTTTGAAAAAGGGGAAACACATGTCTGCTGCCCAAGAAACAAATCTATTCAGTGCTGTTATGCGACCTGTCAACTTCTGAATGTCCCTTTTGCACTTAGGAGGCTCCATATTTATCAGAGCTTGGATTTTATTGGGATTTACCTCTATTCCTCTGTGCGTGATCATAAAACCCAAAAACTTTCTAGATGCCATCCCGAACGTACACTTTGCGGGGTTGAGCTTCATGTTGTACCTCCGTAACTTAGCAAACACTTCCTCAAGATCAAAGACATGACCATTCACCTGTTTGCTCTTAACCACCATATCATCCACATATGTTTCGACCGTTTTTCCAATTAATTCGACGAAAATCTTGTTTACCAACCTTTGATACGTTGCTCCAGCATTCTTTAGTCCAAAGGACATGACCCTGTAACAATAGATGACTGAGTCTACCATGAATGAGGTCTTCTCTTGATCTTCTTCTGCCATGAGTATTTGGTGATACCCCGAAAAAACATCCAAGAAGCTGTACAGCATATGACCTAACGTGCTGTCCGCAAGATTGACAATTCGAAGTAGAAGATAACTGTCTTTGGGACATACTTTATTCATATCTGTGAAATCAATGCAGACTCGCCACTTCCCATTAGCTTTCTTGACAAGAACAACGTTAGTAAGCCAATCGGGATATTGTACTTCCCGAATGAACTTTGCGTTAACAAGTTTGGCAATCTCCTCTTTTATGACTTATCGTCTTTCTGGTGCAAATTGTCTTTTCCTTTGCTTTACAAGTCTTGCCCCTGGATTTACATTGAGTCTGCACACCGCAACCTTTGGGTCAATTCCAGGCATGTCCTCAACATTCCAAGCGAATATATCAATGTTGCGAGAGAGACAACTCAGTAGTTCAATCATGACTGCTGTATCTAACTCCCGTCCGATTGTCACTTTCTTGCTAGGCTCGAGCTTGACCTCTTCCAATCCCTCCACTAGAGCCAGTCTCTCATGGTTCTCGTGCTCGGGCTCAAGCTCAGTAACTTGTATGACGTCGCCCTTGATTCTTCGGACACTAGTCACATAACACTGTCATGCCACTGTTTGGCTACCTCGAACTACCTCGATTCCATTATTCATAGGAAACTTTATAGCCAAGTGGAAGGTTGAGACAATAGCTCGAATCTTATTTAGCAGTGGTCTTCGCAATATGGTGTTGTAGGCCATTGGAGTACAAACAACTTCAAAAATGGTAATCTGTGTCACTTGCTTACCTTCTGACCCAATGTTAAAGGCAACCCAATGATACCTTCTGGGGTGATGACCCCACTTCCAAACCCTTGGAGAGGTGTTTTGACTGGCTTGAACTGTTCTGATGAGATCCCCATTTGAACAAATGCTTCATGAGACAATACATTAGCCGCACTTTCGTTGTCCACCAGAATTCTCTTGACTTCAAAGTTGGTGATGATGGCCGATATAACTAGAGTATCATCATGAGGGAATGATATGCCTTCCATGTCCCCTGTTTCAAAAGTGATGTCCTCTGTAGAGCCAAGGTTTGATTTTGAGATGGCTGGAGACTGCCTGGCATATTGTTTACACCCGCTACTAGAATCTCCACCCGTGGTTGTTCCTCCGACAATGATATTGATAGTACCTGCTGTTGGTTACTTGTTTTCCCGACCCTTTGGGCCCTTGTCTCTGTTCGGATTATTCCTTGGGCGCTGGTCATTACTAACATAAGAACCCAAAAAACCCTTTTTTATAAAAGCTTCAATATCTCGTTTTAAGGAGAAACAATCCTCCGTTGTATGCCCGTGGTCTCTATGGAAATTACAGTACTTACTCTTGTCACGAGTATTGGGTGGAGACCGTAACCTTGGAGGCCATTTCAGTTCCTTCGAATCCTTGATCTCCATCAAAATGTTAGACCTCGAGGTGTTCAAATTGGTAAAGGAGGTTGAGGAGGGGTCCTGCCTTGGCTTGACCCGAGGTACATCTTGTTTCAGACTGGACTCATACGACCTTTTCTGATCAGACTTTCCTGATGAAGAAACTTCTCTTTTTGGGGCCATGGTTTCTTCCATATTGATGTACTTCTCAGTTCGTGTGAGTAGCTTAGTGACTGACTTCGGCGGGGTCTTAGACAAGGACATCTTGAATGCTTCACACTTAATGACATATGTCAAAGCTGAGACTACAGCGGTGATATATAGATCGGGGATCTGAAACTTTTCTTTATTGAACTTGGTCATGAAACTGCGCAGTGTCTTATTGGGTCCTTGACACATCTGCATGAGTGATTCAGCTGTCTTTCTGATTCGCTTGTTGCTTGCAAAGAAAGCGGAGAACTTATCGGCCAAATCTAAGAAGGAGGCGATAGAGTTGGGTTCCAATGTGGAAAACCAATCTCTAGCTATGTTTGTGAGGGTCTGAGGGAAGGCCTTGAACATTACTGCATCTAGTGCAACCTATAAGTTCATGATATCCGTGTATACATTGAGATGATTGATGGGGTCAGTTGTCCCATTGTACTTCTTTATCCAAGGATACTTGAACCTGTCGGGGAGAGGATGCGAGAGGGCTTCTGGAGTGAATGGCGTATTGAAGGTGAACCCTATTGTTGCCCAAGTATTTTGTTGCATACCCACTGCTATCTCTTCTTGAATAATTCTAGTAAGTTCAGTGGAGTCCATTGTAACAGACCTTGAACCTCAAGCCACTTGCGTTTCACCTGAAGTTCCAACCCCGTCGTCATCATGAGCTGTACGTCGGACTCGAACCTGGGCGTCTGCCATAAAACCACATTCAGGGTTGGGGTGTGTGAGGAGTGTGAATTTTTTTGGCTCAACAATTAGGTTAGTGCAGCAGCCTGCTGACGAAATTCCTCGAAAGCTCCGGCGGTGACAACAGCTTGAGGAGGTGCTGGCATTTCTGACGATTCTTCTTGAGGGACATGGTGTTCCTCAGAAGGAGGAAGGTTATCCGAGACAGATGAGCTTGCTGGAGGAAGACCTGAACGTGTATTGACCATGACTTTTGTAGCACTTCCCACAGACGGCGCCAAGGATGCTACCAAAAAAAAGTACTTGAAAGATCTCAAACTTGATGATCGAACTTCGAACTTTGATGAACACGAACGGTCTTCGAATACCTGCAACAAAGGCAACGAGGTGTGTGCTCATCGCCCCTCCTATGCTTAAGTCAGGTAGGGAATTTAGTGCGTGAGGTTGCAAACTGGAAATAATGAAAAACGTACCTCAAGAATGAGCCTGGGTTATGTATTTATATGTGTTGATGATAGAGTCCTAGAAGGACTTTGCCACGTGTGATCCTTATCCATGTAGGATAAGGAGTTAGTGTTTTATTCAACCACTATTTGAGTTGGCAAGGGAATCTAGCTAGGTAACAATTGCAAGTTGGGGGAGAATTTGTGTTCCCATAGGTCGTCAAAATGACCTGACACGACGACACATAGGCTCGACCTTAGAGACCCTACCTCAGATTGGTGGTTTTGGTCGAGGACAAGTTTGGGATAAGTGGTCGAGTTTGGGATTGGGTGATTCTGGGGTGATCAGGTAGCATCAGTGAGCATGAAATTTGTATGGAAAGAAAATAAACTCTAGTCAATTTAATTACTTAAAACTTATTTGTATGTAAATTATTAATTAAATGTGTCTTATTGATTTAGTTTTTAACCTAAAAAATATCAATACTTATACTTTTTTATTGGTGGGTAGATGAGAAAGAGTGAATAAATGAGAAAGAGAAAAAAATATTGAATTACCTGAAAAATAAAAATCACTCATTCTAAAAAAAAAGTATTTTTTTTTTTATTTTGAGGAAAATATGATCACATAATTAAAAGTTGGAAATTATTTTTCATGAAAAAATTCTTAATCAAACATTCCATAAGTAGGAATTTAGGTTAAAAAAATGATAATAATAAGATATTTTTCAAAAAAATAAAGTCAATCAAACACATTTCATGTATTTCTCATGCAAGGCTCTTTTTTTCAACTGTTATAGAGAGCCGAACTTTCTTAGAAACCCAACAGAGGCCCAAATATTATAGGCCTGATGGGCCGCATCTGGGGAGTTTTGTTCCCAAATATCATAGGGAAAAATTCATAAATCCTAGCACAAGTATAGGTGATTTCAAAACTAAGATGACAAGTTTGAATGTGCAAAAATAAGAAATATAAAACAATCAAAGAGGATTTCATTGTAATTAATCCCTAAAATCAAGCAATTAGTTTCCATCCGAGGGGGAGAGAGAGAGGATTTCGTTGCAATTAATCCCTAAAATCAAGCAATTAGTTTCCATTCGTGACAAACTCCCTAAAATTTACGATTTAATTAATTTAATAAATTATTTAATAAAATTTATGTATGATTTAATTAATTAATTAATTTTATACTTTATTAATTAAATATATTGTGGTCACATATCTATACAATTTGGTCACAGATTCACAATTTAATTAGTCACATATTATTTTTTAGTCAAAAATTATAATTTTAAATTGCCACAAATTATTTAGGATTACCATTCAAAAATTTTATAAGTCACGATTTGTTCAATGGTCACAGATCAAAAAGTAATCCATCACAATTTTATGTATCGGTCACACAAAAATATTATAAGTCACAAATTAATATATTTTTAGGTCACATTAGTCACGATTCATCTTTTTCATGGGTCACATATTATTTATTGGTCATAGATTAACCAATTTAATGGTCACAATCAATCAAATAATTTGTGACCACCACTACAGCAAGCACAACACCATCGGCCACTCCTCATTGTTGCACCACAAACCACCACCACATTAACAGAGACCAATCACCAAAAACAGTGAAAAACAAACCACTTTCTCCTTTTCATGCAACACGACCTTCTAGCATGTAGTTGCCTCTCCAACAACTTGCACATCAGACACTCCAGGTTATGTAACTTCTTCGGTTGGATTTGTTCCTCTGTCCAAATCACCAGAATCATTTATTATATCATTACCCTTCCTGAGTTTCTGCAAAGGATTCTGAGAAGTAAAATCACTATCTATTATAAGAACAGAAGGTTCATTCCCATCGTTGTTTCCAGTATCTCCAATTTCCTTCCCAACAGCAATTTATGTCTGGCCATCAGTGTCAACAGATGGGTCCTCAGAAACTGCTCGACTTCTTCCATTTGATTCCTCATCCAATTCTTTATCACTATACTACTCAAGAAACCTAGCATGATTTTTCAGAATCACCATTCTCTCCAACTTTATACTGGGCATTGGATCCGAAATCGTTTTCTTACGCTGCCTGAGAGAAAGAGAGAGGACGGGTGGAGAGAGAAGACATGTGAGAGAAGAAAAGAGAAAATGAAGAGAAAATATAATTAATTGGAGAGAGAGAAACGGGTGAGAGAATAAATTGGAGAGAGAAATTGATTAGACTAAGAAATTGTTGAGAGAAGATGGGTGAGAGAGTGAAATTTATATAATTAGTATTTAATATTTAAATATAAAAAATCTGATTTTTGAAATGTTAAACTACTCTTCTTATTTTTGAACCATAGATTTTAATTCTAGGGTTTTGTGTAATTACCACAATATCATAGGCACTCGTCTGGGGAGTTTCTTGCTCTGATGGGCCAATTTGTTTACAGTTTCATATTTTCAATTTTTTTTTTCATATATAATTTGTCACACTTTCTTTTAAAATAATTTTCTGTTTTCATTTTGTCTAAAACGGTACATATTCATAAATTGGTAGTGCTGTCGTTTAGTTTGTTCTGTCGATGCTAACGTTGAATAGCCATGGATGAAACCACTGGTTTTTGTGTACAGTATATTTTTAATAAAATTAGATACGCTGTAACAAGAATTATATATGTTGTAACACGATTAAGATATTATAATATTAAAAAATTGCAAAGATTACAATTTTTCGTAAGGTGCAGTGAACAAGAATTAAAAATTCAAGTGAGGGTTTGGGCGAGTGGATTGCATTTCCCTCAATTATATTGATTAGGGCTTGAGAAGCAATGACATGTGTAAAGATTGATGTGAGTAGTCATTTCTTATAGGCCCCAGTTTGTCCCCCATTTTGTAGAGAAGAAAATGGATGGAATAATATTTTTTAGAAAAATTAGTGGTTGAAAAAGAAGGAAAATTTTTCGATTTACGTGTAATATTATTTTATAGAAGATTGTCTGATTGAAAATATGAAAGAAAAAAATGAAATGTAATGAAATAAAAATTAATGGGGCCAAACAAAGCCTTAAGTAATGAAGAAAATCTCTTTACTTTTTTTATCAATTTACTCCCATGTTTAACTCTACTTATATAACTGTCCAAATAAAAATGTGTTATTATTTGTTTGCCTAATACTAAAGTACTTTTTAAATTTTATATCCAGAAAATAAGAGATTGAGACACAATCTCTTTATAACACCATATTAAATTGACATCATCTCAAAGCCTTATAAATCACATAATGTTAGCCGAACATGCATCTTTGAAGTGCAATTCACTCTCGAGAATGTGCGCGACTAGTCTCCTCATACAATGGTCCGCATGACGCGTGTTCCCCTCACCTTCATCTTCAATTGCTTGCCTTAATTATTGATTTGATGGTCTGGTTTGGTCAACTCATTTTAATACACTAGTAGTATTATTAGACTTTTAGAAGGAAAATGCTCCTCTACCAAGCCTGTAAAAGGCCTGGTAGAGGCCTCCTCTCCCATTTTTTCTCATCTCGACGGGCTCCATGATTAAAAAAATACCTCCCAAAAACCCACTCCCACCCCAAACTGTGAGAGGGGCTGCACTACCAGGCCTCTTACAAGCCTGGTAGTGTAGCATGGTCCCTTTCAGAATTCTGTACTACTACTTTTTTGTTACTATTTTTTGTAAAAGGAATATGAGATTTTTGTTAGTTATAATGGCTAAATCTTTTGACCTCGTTTTTGGTTCAACGTGGACAATAGATACCAGTCCTACTCGTATCCTTACAAGCTAATTTCAATGCATGTGGGCAGATTACTAGTTAACATTTGACAGTATCTCGGATTTGAACATGGGAGAAGCTTAATAACACGAAACAAAAATGTTCATGCTTCGGCAAGATATATGTGAAGAATAATAAGATAAGGACCAAACAATAGATTAAAAAGCAAATATTCGATTCACATAATACATTAAAAGATTTAACTCAAGATAAAAAGCTACCTTGAATTGATATAGTTGCATTAACCTTTTATAATACAAATATGGGGGTATTTATAGGCTTGCACATGAAATAGAATCCATGGATGAGGGAGCACATGTCTCCATCTCCTTAACTGAAGCACCATATTCTAGGTATTAGTTTGATTCATTAGCCTGTGGCACATTTAATGCTCTTAAAGGGAGCAGCCACCCTATAACCTATGTTGATAAGATTTTGACATATCATT